CAGTGTTTTTCTTGCTGCTGGCGTTGTTACAGAGTGTATGGTTGACTCTGGCTAGTTCCCCTTTCTTTGTATTTACAAAAGGCTTTCCAGCATGCCTCTTCTACTTGTTTAATCAGATTTTCCGTTAATTTTGGGTATTAGAATGGGTGGTCAGCAGTTGTCACCAAGAAAGTTAGTAGTGGTCAGGAAAGTTTGGCCTAGTCAAGTTGTGTACTAGACTATGCTAAACTTGAAAATGTATCAGGAGATAGTACACTTATTTCATGAAACACTTGAAAAAAGGAACCCAACAGTATATTAGAGATGGTACCCTGGTCTGCTGTGTTGGTTATATAAGCTTGACTCATTAGAAATTATTTGTAAATTCTCTGGCGATAGGTAATCACTTTTAAAAAGAACTGTAAAATGGTGAAAAATATTGAAAACATTGTCTTTCCTTCTATACCTCTAAGGCAGAGGATGGTCAACTTTTTCTGTAAAGGGCCAGGTAGTAAATATTTTAGGCTTTGTGAACCATATGGTCGCTGCCTCAACTACTCGGCTGTTTCTGTAGCAGGAAAACAGCCGTCAACAATAGGGAAACAAGTGGGTAGGTTCCCATAACATTTTATTCATCATAATAGGCGATAGGCTGAATTTGGTTCCCAGGGTGTAGTGTGCTGTGCACTGCTGCCTGTTGTTGCTTAGTTTGAAAAATTGTATGTGGGCTGCTCTAGCGCCTGGGGTGGAAAGTACCATACAAGGGAGAGGCGAAAGCGGTGGGGATTCCACGAGTGGAAGAATGTGGAGAGGAGTGAGTGGGACAAAGGAGGGCAGGGAAATGGAGGCAGAGCGCTACATGAACACAGGCGCTAAGCACGGAGCCCGTGGGAGACATTAAGGAAGTCTGTATCCTGGAACGTTCTGGTGAAAACGTTGATTTTGAAGCACTGGAGGCCATCACGGATTGAAGTCAGTAAAATTTAGGTAGATTAAGAGTTTGACATAAAGTACCGTTATCAGTACTTTTCCAGGCATTCAGGATTCAGGCAATGCATACATTTTCTTGCATGTGTTTTTCAGTCTGTCTTAGTAGTTCATGAGTTTTGTTTTTTTAAAAATTGGAACGTTGAGTCCAAAGGGATTTATAGCCGTACATGATAAAAGATGGAGGGTCACATTTTGAGAGTTGAACATTTTTTCTAGAAATGACTAGTATAATTTCATAGTTGGTGTGTCTAGCAGAAATAGCTAGTACATAAAATTGGAAAACAGATTGGTCACTTGTGAGTAAAGGCTAATCAAAATAATAGGAGTAGGCCAGCATGGATCTTATGAATCACTTAATCTAGAACTGGGTCATTACAATAAAACATATTTTAAATATATATTCATCTTGAAATAAAAGTATATTATGGCAGCATTTTGACTTTTTAGAAAGATTCATTTATTTTCCTCTATACCTCTCTCTTGTTTCTTATGATAAATCTATTGGGAATATCTGCTTTCTGAAAATATGTGCTAAGAACGGAAGAAAGTGAACTGCTCTTTCTAAAAGTCAAAATATTGGAGTGGAAGTAATGGAGATATTCCTTTATTTTTTAAAAATATGATGAGATTGTACAGTTTTATAGAATGTTATAAGATATACAAAATTTGGCAGTTGAGATTTATATTGGGAAAAATCTGAAAAAATTTATGTTAAAGTTAGCTGTTAGGCATTTTGTAGTAGAAAGACTCATACGTATGTTTTTATCACTCAGATCTGTAAGTAAATAAGCAAATATGGTATAGAATCTTAATTATAGAATGAATAATGGTGTGCTTTAAGCCAAATTTAAAACTGACTTGAAATTATCATTTAAAATTAATTTGAAATTATGATTTTATCCACAGACAGGTGACTAATGGTTGTTTTATTCTAATTCACATCAAAATCTGTACTTTAAAAGGTGAACTCACTTTTGCTTTTAGAAAAATATAATCTTACTTTTCTAATATTATTTCAGAAAATTTTTGAGGAATTTGCTTTGCATTCTCATTCTGGAAAATAGTAATTTCGTAGCCAATAGGTATTATTTCCTAAAGCAGTTCAACGTGATCTCTCTTTTAGTGTATTAGTTACTTTGTTCTCAGCCTGCCTGTTCCATTTTTTTCATAAACAAACAAATTTACTGCAGCGAGGTCTCGTCTTTTCTTACTGTTCTGTTTGAACCTCTTCCTGTTTCTCCTGTCCACACCTTGAAATTCAGACTCGCCCTCTGCATTCTTTCCGAACAGTCCCTTCCTTTCAGCCCTTGTTTTTTCCTTTCCTTGCCATCTCTCCTCCTTCTCCTCACCTGCGCCGTTCCGTTTTTGCTTGCCTGAGTGTCACTGTTTTGTATTCTTTCAACATGCTGCTTTCACTCCCTTTACTAATCAAAAGAATTTCTAGACAGTTTTTTCATATGACTTTTTCTAAAAACTTTTCTTAGAAATATTTGGAGAACAGATGCCTAACTCAAAGTTTCAGATGAACTTAAAAGTAGAAAAAACAAAATTTTAGTAGAAATATTTGTGAAATAAATACTAAATAATATATTTAGTAGAAATATAGCATACGTCTCTGTCTCTTGATGGCACTGTCATCGTTCAACAGATACTTTGTAATTAGGTGAAAGTATTAGCACATGCGTATTATCCAAATAATGCTGTAATTATGACGTTCATCGTTCAGTGTCACAAAACAGCGCATTTGAAGGATTTTTCTATACAACGTAAAGAATTATTTACTCTGACAAATTAGGTCATGTCATAGCAAAAACACCAAAATGACAGCAAATCACAGTTTAAGATGTAACACGCCCCAGCTTACCATTGCTCATAAAGCCGATTTAGAGAATATAAAATATGGCTTACTGTTCACTGTGTATCAGGCTTCGTGGGTGCAGTGTGGTTCTTGATCCTAATGGGATTAAAGGACCTCCACTGCTCGAGCTGTGTTGTGGGTTATACCTACATTGCTTATGGTTTTCCCCCCTCTTTGCCCGTATTAGCAATCTGCTTTTGTACTTTGACATCCAGGATCTCCCTAGTGAATTTTGTCACAGAAAAAAGAGAATCATCAATATCGCAGTTAAACTTGACTTTCAAAGCTAATAGTATCTCATTTGGGGGCTCAAATTTAATAAATTTTCTTTGATTCTGGGTGAGTTTTTAAACATCAAACAATGAATTGGCCAGGGTGCAGTAAAATATTTAGATCTATTGACTATGGTTCAGAAGGGTAGAAGGCAAAACACTAGTGGTTTGATGTTGATAAATTCTCAGTACCTTAATCCACATTAATGTTTTCTTTTATCTGAGTGCACATTGGTGACAAAAAAGCAAAAGAAGGCATCTATACATATAACATATAAAACCTAAAGCAAATATACGATTTATTTTGTTATGCTAAGTAAGTTCAGTAGCATTCTCATCCTGACTGAAGACTCTGGAGAATGTTTGTTGCAGATAAATATCCGTTCTGAATTGGGACTCCAACGTGCATGTAGAACTCATAGTATTTTAAAAATTGCATCATGTTGTATGTTTTACAGCATACACTTTGACATTGTCTTACTGATGGAAAGTCTTTGGAAATATAAGGATTTTTATACCCATAGATTGGCACAAACAATTAAAGATGTCATTGTATGTCTGTGTGTTTGCTGGTTTAAGGAAACCCTATAGAGTGTGGTAGTTTTTTGTAGAATGTGTGTATTTCTTATGTAATTAATTCATATAATGAAAAAGTAATTTAGCAGGTTTTAGAAGCTAGCCAAGTAGAATAGAAAAATGAAGAAGTTTTCTATCTTATCTCATGCCAAGCTGCATTTGACATTGCTCAAATAAAATTAGAGATCTAAATATATTTGGGTAATTAATGTTATTTTTATAGCTACCCCCATTCTCGACCTTTATTATATCATAAAATACTCTCTGTTCTGTGACATTAACCTCGTTGTATAACGTTATCAAATATATGGTAGCAAAGGATACATTTTTAAAAACTATTCAAGCATAAGGAAAGTTAAAAAATATGCCTACATATTGAAAACTCCTATGATTAAACTATATGACTGAAAATGAGAGCTTACTGATCTTAAATACAAACCAAATTGCTCAATTCTTAGGCTTTACTAAGTTTGGAAATTAAAAACTAATATCTATTTCTGAACGTTTCTGTTTCCATTCTGTGAAGAATATTTCCTCATTTTTCCAGAAGGTGGCAGTGTGATATCAACTGCACGTGATGCCGGACTGGCTAGAGAATTGGTGTTTCTCCTGTATCTGTGATGTTCGTATTGTTACCTTTACAAATACTTAAAATATAGTACAAATACTACTGATTTTATCTGTTATATTATTTAGAAATTGTGTGACCAAGTTGGTTTACATGTATTTTATCATTAAGACAAGATTAGTAAAAATCCTGTGATTTTAGAAGAGCAGAAAGGGCGAACAAACCCCTTACTTGTATATTTTAAAGTATCCTTTTGTGTTGAGTATATTTGTTCTCATTCTAGGGCACATATTATTGAAGTTTTCTTTTCAGAGAGTAGTACCTAATAACTATCTTGTCCAATATACATTAGCTAATAGCAATTAAATTAAACATGTTATTAAGCAGGTGATGATCATTAGGAGATTGCTGTTGTTTTTTGCTTTATGAATGTTCTCCCTTTCTTCTCCCCCCCTTTTTTTTTAGGGTAGAACTGTGAAAAAAATAATTCAAAACCTCTTGATCAGAAGAGCTCCAGTGATTCTTCTTCCCCTCCCTCGTTTCAAGCAGGAGGATGCTTTTTCTTCTTAACATTCTCCCCCAGCACTCTGAATTAGAGATTTATTTGCAACGAAAAATCAATTAGTCCTAAATTTATTCATGGATTTCAGGTCCAGCGATCAATGCAAGTCCACTCAGTGGGCTCAAGGGGACCCAGTTCATCCCAGTTAATGTGTCTGAAGGGGAATTACCATTGATGCTGTTTTTTTCCCTTTAGGTCAGAGATCAGATCTCACTGTCACGGACTGCGGCAAGTAGGAATGACTTCACCCTGCAGCTGCCCAAACTGCACCTGGAGACCTTGGCAATGGAGGGGCTCAAGGGCGGGCCAGAGGTGGTAGCATGCCAGGTTAGAGTCTAAATAACATTGTTTGCTGCCGAGACGTATAGAAAAATAAATTGCACTAACTGGAGAGAACGAAAGCCTCAAAGTATTGTGAATAATTTAAAGGAGATGCAAATACCTTTTCCTTCTATCATGTAGCAGTATACTTTGCAAAAAAAAAAATTTTTTTTTCTTCAAAGCCTAGAACTAGCCCATTAAAATAATCCAGAAAGGTATTTTTGCCAAGGAAAATATGTTTTATGGCAAAGTACAGTATTGAAAAGCATACTTTCCTATCAGCAGAGGACAATAAGACATTGGCTGTTATCTCTTTAAGCTAGTCTCAATTTGTTGCTCTTATCGTTTTAAAATAAATCACTTAAAAAAAGATAAATTATAGAATAACAAAACAAATCACTCAAGAGAGATACCCCCAAATTTTCAATGTCAATTCCAACATATATCTAGCATTTCTTTTGTGGTAATTTATTTTCAGCAAAACTAAAACCTAACTGTGTTTTCCATTGAAGAGTACTTTATTCTTTAATGTTCAGTTTTAATGAACATTGTAATATGTGCAAGCTGGGTCATTTTATTTGTAAAATACAAAATCATAAAACCTCAAATTACTTTAAAATAAACTTAATAAACTTATTTTTAGAAACATTTGTTTTCAGATGCTGTAAGTATCTTTCTAGTCTGTGTTGCTCTTATATTATTGTAATCATTTTTGACTTAAGGTTAATTTTTTTAATTGGACCATAAAATTCAGCATGTGATTTACTCTTCTTTTAATACCAAAATCCTTCATTAGAAAAACTTATCAACATTATGCAAATTATGGGAAGCCTGATATTTCAAAAAAAAGCTGTCCTTGTTCAATAGCACTGTAGATTTTTTAGTGTAAGAGAAATATCTCTTAAAATAGAGTCTGTGTTCACATCTTGAGATTCAAAATAATCTTTTTCATTTTTCAGTTTATGACCCTATGGAATTTAAATTTTGTACAAAATTAATGTCAGTTCATGTGGAGCTATGTTAATTTTTTACATGCTCCATACTCTAATTTGTTATTAGTACCAAATTAATGCTCTACAAAGAAAAAAATACTCATTCCTTCTTTCATTAGATTGTCTATCAATATACCTAAAATATTTATAATTATAAAACTAAGCATAAAATATTTTTATTTTCTGTCATAGAGTAGAATACTGTACTATTAAGATGAGATTTAAAATGCATGTGTTAAATGTGATTATCAATATTTATGAATTCATCACAACTATGAATAGGGTAGGATTTCAGATTTTTCAAGCGGTTGTAAAATAATTCTTTCCTTGGTTATCTCAATTTAGAATCTCACAAGACTTAGTACTTGTCATAATTTACAAATAAGGACTCCCTCAAAACTAGATCTTGGTTGTTTGGAAAGAAACTGATTCCAAGGAATGCCACTTTGGGGGTTCTGATATCTGTGAATAGCAAGAAGGAAATGTAGAGATTCATAGTTTAAACTACTGTCTTTTCCAGGTTCTAGTAAAAATAGTTATGTACATTCCCAAATACCTAAATGTTTAGATAAGTTCCACTGATGTGCTGTAATATACATTGTAGGTTAGTAATATGTATCATACTTGGAAAATGTATCATACTTGGAAAAAAATTAATTATTTTTTTTAAAAAAATTTTTATTTCATTTATTATTTTTAATTTTTTTTTATAGAAACAGTTCTTGCTATGTTGCCCAGGCTGGTCTCCAACTCCTGGGATCAAGCAGTTCTCCTGCCTGGGCCTCCCAAAATGCTGAGATTATAGACCTAGGAGCCGCCACGCCCAGCAGGAGGACATTAATTGTAGTAATAATACCTACAGTTTTCAATGAACACTTACCACCTTGCTTAGCTCTTTGAATATCATCTCATTTAATTCTCACAATAGTCTGTCAAATAGATGACACTACTAGTTTTACAGCTGAAAAACAACCACTGTAGCAACAACCACAACAGGCAATCCTCTCCTCAGTTCAACAGCAAGGAAATGGTCAAGAACCTGGATTTAAGTCTAATAGTATTTGACTGCAAAACTAAACCAACAAATCTGACACTAAAAAATTTAGGCACCCATGTTAAATGGTAAGAGTAAAGCTTTGGTATCTATAATAGAATTTTCCTTCCATTTGTAAGACATTAATTATACCTCTTATGTATGAGGTAGGTCATAGTTTATGGTTATAGACAAATTTGAGGCAAAAATGTTTGTTTTCATTTGACAGCATAATAGTATGAAACTAGCGTTCATCTCTTTGCAGTACAAAAATATGTGTATTTATGTGACGTGTGGCTACTTATTTGGGAATTCAGTATTTGTTTAGCTTTGAACTTGGGCACTGCTGCTGAAGTGGACTGTTCCGAGGACATGACTTTGATTATGAGGAGAGAGGATCACTCCGCAGGGTGTGGCAGTGTATGAACCATTTGGCCAACCTGCACAGCCGTCATAAAGCAGTGGGGGCTGAAGTTTTCTCTTTTCCAGGGGGCCAAACTTTATTGTAGGTATAATCCTGGACAGAAATCAATGATACTGAAAGGCAAAGACGGCGAGTGGATTACAAAGTTCTTTCTGAACCCAGAAGAGCACATGACTGATGCTCACATACGGGAGAGTTCAGTTCAGCTGGTCGCTGAGATCTGCAAACTTGTCCCAGTTTCTATAGCTGCAAAAAATGTCATGCTCCCGGTACCTAGGACTCGCAGCAGGATTGAATGAGGCAATGCATGTAAAGTAGGACTCCATGCCTAGCCCAGAGAAAGGAGGCAATGCTTTTTTTTTGGGGGGGGGGGTGGGCCGGGAGAAGGCTCTGGTTATTACAACCATCCCAAGGCCCTCGTAGATGGAAAAGCAACAGTAGCTTGTTTTCATTACTTTTAAGACGTGTATATGTTTTATTCTGAGGAATGGTTATTTAGGATTTTTTTCTCTGTATTTTTCCATTTGGTTTCTTCACCCTTCCCTATTTCTTCAAAAGCTTTCAATAATTTTGCTCAAGCACCATTGACTTTAGTTCCCTGTTTACTTTTCCATGTAATATGATGTTCCAGTGAGACCATGTCCCAGTGAAACCAAGCTCCTATGGAAAGTTTAGGACCATGCCAGAGCTTTTATCTCCCAAATAATAGCATATCAGGCTTTCATTACAATACTGAGAAAAATAAAAATACCCATCATATTAGACCACTCAGTTTTAACTGAAAAGTTCAATATGGTATGAACGCAGGAACACTTTGTAGTAAAAAAATATTCTACCTATACTTTATAACAATAATGCCTGTTATTCATTATCTTATACTCTGTATTTTTAAAATAATTATGATATGTAATGCTGGTAATATCTGGCAGATATTAGCAGGCATCTAGTAAATGTGTAAACAGTAAATAATAATTAAACAAACAACAGCAATAGCCACATTTGCTGAGTGCTTACTCAGTGCCAGTTACTGCGCCAAACAGCTTGCACTGTGATCTCATTTAATACCTGCAACGGCTTTATGAATAATAGAGTTCTGCTTTTACCCATTTTACAAAGGAAGGAACTGAAGTTTATTGAGATGAAGTATGAAGTTCAAGGCCATGTATTCAGTGAAGGGTCCATTCATGCTTTTAATCGTGCCATCTTGCTTTCTGTAAACCATGGTGTACTGCCTTTTTGTTTGTTTTTTAAGATGGCTGGGAGAGAAAAAAACCTAGAAATCGCTTGTATAGTACAGTTTCATTTGTGTGGAAATAATGGGAAGAACAGACATCTAAAAGAGGGTTAATTGGGCAAGTTGCTTAACCTGTCTGTGTCTTGGCCTCTTCATCTGTAAAATGAAGATAATGAGCGTTCTAACTCACAGCATTAGTATGATGAGTAGGTGAGCTAATCCGTTGAAAGTGCTTAGAGTAGTGACAGGTACATGGTGAATGCTCAATATATGTTAGCCATCCACTAACGAGAAAGCGTCGTGAGGCCAGGTGTTTGCCCCTGTCCACTCCTGCGTCCTCAGAGCTGAGAACCATCCCTTGTCTGAGCGGCTCCTCGGGATATATGGATGAGTGAACACTCGATTTAGACACTTGGCCCGATGACTTGGGAAGCTGCTTGTGTCTCAGCCATGCATGCCCTTAAGAAGATTGGTATCAGTTTTTAACTTGTAGGCCCACATTATTTAAAAAGAAAAGACTCCTAGCCATATCATAAGTGTTTGCGGCTTGGTGCATAATAACCGTACCTTTGGAAATGTAGCATAGTTTGTAAGTATGTGTTTATAAGCACTTTGTTAGAGAGGCTTTATGGTGAAACCATTTATTTCTGAAGGTTTTAAACAACAGAGTCTTTAAAATAAATACAGCAATTCTTTAATCACCCCCAACCCACAATGACATTACATAGTCCTTACTTGGTATGGTGTTTAGTTATGTGTTATACCCATGACTTTTGGGATACCATGATTTTTTGCATTTATGCATAATTTCCAGGCATAATTTCTTTGAGCTATTTTATTGTGTTTATACAGGTAAATTATAAAGAGCATATTGAAGAAAATTTTGTTGTTATAATTTTTACATATGGAGGGATGAAATAAGTGTTATCCTTACCTAAATTGTTGTGAATAAAAATACCAAGAATTGCTTTTATTAATTTTCTTACATTTGCTCTCTGTTCTACGACTTAATACAGTAGCCTTCTAATTGCTTTGCAAGAAATTTTTGACATACTTAGAAATTAAGGAGATATTAAGCAATTTCATTAAAAAGATTATTCCATTGAGCTATTTTCTTCTTTGTATTATCCTGTTATCCTATCCACATAAGTTAATTTTCAGAGAGCCAATTATCTTTTTTTTTTTTTTTCTTGAGTCAAGGTCTCACTCTGTTGCCCAGGCTGGAGTATAGTGGCATGATCACTATAGCCTCACACTACCGGGCTCAGGTGATCTTTTTACGTCAGCCTCCCTAGTAGCTAGACTGTAGTTGCGTGCCACCAC